GCTCAGTCAGTTAAGTGCTTGGGCTCAGGTCAGGATCTCGGGGCCTGGGGGTTCGAGCCCCGCGTCGGGCCCTGTGCTGACACCTCGGAGGCTGGAGCCTGCTTTGGATTCTGTGTCTCCCTCTCTCTCTGCCCCTCCCCTGCTCGTGCTCTGTCTCTCTCCATCTCTCAAAAATGAGTAAATGTTAGGAAAAAAAAAGTTGTATGCTCTGCCGACTGAGCCAGCCAGGCGCCCCCTCTTGTTGTCTTTAAATTAGTGTGGGCTTCGTGTGAAAATTCAAATGGTAGCAACGTGTAAAAACAAGCAACAATAAAGAGAACACTTCACCTCTTCCCCACTTTCCCACGGTAGCCCCACTAGCAGTTCATATGCCCTTCCTGACTTTTTCTTGTTCCTTTAAGAAGTGTAGTTAAAAAAATGTAGTTTTCTTCTGTTTTTATTTTTTGTAAAGTTTATTTATTTTGAGAGAGGTAGTTGTTTTGTTTTTAAAATATGGGATCATGGTACACATATAATTCCAGTTTGTGCTTTATTCCCAGAATTTACCAGTGACATTTTCTACTTAGGGATCTATTTAAAAAAAAAAATTATTTATGTTATTCCATGTTAATGTCAAGGATGTATTGTTTATTTAACAAATCAGTCCTCTTAGTGGCCATTTAAGCGGGTTCTAATTTGTTAGTCACACAGGTAATGCGCCAATGAATATCTTATTGTTTATACGAGTTTTCCTGTGGGCCAGATTCTTAAAACCGTCATTTCAATCTACCCTGACTTTTGCTCTGTCTCATAAATAATGTATTTAAACCTATACATTCAGCAAAGCCACTTTGGAGGTCCCGAGAAGCTGATCGTCTATAGCCCCATCCCCCAGGGGCCTCTGTTCTGGAAAAATGCCCTCCTCACCTGAAATCTTGGAGACCCTTCCCACACCCCTAATGTGGAGAAGCTTTGAAATTCTGTCATTTTAAGGGGCACCTTCCCTAGCAGTGGTGGCTGCGGAGTGTGGGCATTTTGTACCAGGTGTAGTTGCTCCCTGAATCAATCCTCTCCAGTCGGCTTTGTGTCCTCTTTTCTCGAGGTTTCTCCACTGTCCCATCTTATTCCTCAGCTTCCTCTCCAGCCTCCCCCCTTTGACTGTTGTGCGGAGTCCTGGGTGTCTCCATGGGGTCCCCTTGTGCTTTGTGCATCCGTGCTTGTGGCTTGGACTCCTCTTCTGTATGGGGATGTTTGTCAGGCATGGCAACAATCAGGGAGGGGAGGAAGGCACTGTCTCTTGTTACAAGAAGGAGGCTTTCCCTTGAGGTCTCAGATGTGATCTGTAATGTCTCTTGCGTCATTTACAGTTGACTTACTGGGGAAACTAATTTTAGGATCTGTCAGTCTTGAGGCGCTCTCCAGTGTGGGCATACTGTTATGTATCTTGTGTGGTGTAGGGATTATTCCAAACAAAATTTCCAAGATGGCTGCATCGCTTGAAGTACTAGAATCCAATAATTTTAACCATCTCTGTTGAAATCTCTTTAAAACCAATGATATGTCTGCCTGCCTTCATAACTTGACATTTCTTTTGGTGACTCAGAGTCACCATTACACATCTCAATTCTTACATGACTATGAGGCCTCAGGCCGCTGGGGCGGGGACGAGTGTTGACTTCTTCAGGAGCTTCCAGGGTGCTGGCCTGACTTTAGTTCAGCAGTTTTATTCCTTATGAGTTCCATCTGTGTCATGTCTGACAGCTGTTGTTCCTTGACTCTGGCATTGTGCCTACCTCCATCAGCCACCCCTTTTTAAAAAATGTTTATTTATTTTTGAGACAGAGACAGAGCGTGAATGAGGGAAGGGCAGAGAGAGGGAGACACAGATTCTGAAACAGGCTGCAGGCTCTGAGCTGTCAGCACAGAACCCGATGTGGGGCCTGAACCCATGAACCTTGAGATCGTGACCCGAGCTGAAGTCGGATGCTCAACTGACTGAGCTGCCCAGGCGTCAGTCACCCCTTTTTAATTTGCTGTGTCTAATTGGGGACAGAGATGTCCTCAGACCCTACAGTTGGGTGCACATACACATGCAGGTACACCCTTGTAAGGATATGGGCAGAGTAGCCACAGTTATGATTTGTCCGCAGAGCTCCCCAGTTAATCAAAAGATACAGTTTTGTGCATGGATTTATGGCATATATATAACATAATTCTGATGGAGTGACAGATACACCAGATCTGTGTTTGAGCCTGCGTGACCCTAGGCAGGGTGCAGTAACTGTTTTACTTCTGGGCTACTGTGTGGATGAAGTGAGATTTGGTGGAAACCATAAATCATGACTCAGGTGTAATGTATTGGTGATTATTATGATTGAAATTATTCTCTTTTGGCTGCTTCCAGGACTTTGTTCTGTCTTTAATTACTTCAGAGGGACCTAGAGATCTGGAAGAAGGTTCAAAAGGGCAACCAAGATTGTAATTAAGAATTTAGGGACATATGATTCATGAATTTCTTCCTTCAACCATTGTCTAATGAGCACCCAATACATGAACATTCTGTCCATACACTACCTATGCAGTAATATCTTGTTTATCTTAATATCTTACTTATCTAGCCATAGCCATTCAGGAGAAAGGTAGAGCAAAAGGCCTAGAAGCAGCCAAGAAAGAAATTTTAAACACAATAATCATTAATATGTTACACTTGAGTCATGATTTATGGTTTTCGCAGCCTCACTTCATCCGCAGAGTGGCCTGGAAGTAAACCATCCCTGCACTTGCCCAATGTCCCGCCACTACTGAGCCCTCCCTCAGGCACAGGTCTGGTGCCCTTGTCACTCCACCAAAGTTGTCAAATATATGCCAACAATGTATGCGCAAAGTGAGGACTGAGGCTGAATCTTTGAACTTAGCGAGAATAGGGATTTAATACAGAACTTTCATTCATTCACGGAACATTTAGAGCATTCTCTGTGCTAGATATTCCAATGAATGCTGGGAAGCAAAGAAGAATAAAGTCTGGACTTTGCCATCCAAGAACTCCTAGTTAAGGAGAGAGATAGATAGGTTAACCAATAATTGTCATGCAATGTAGGAAATGTGGTGATAGAGACACTGTAGGAGAAAGCAGGACAATTTTCTTCATTTGGGGAAGAGGGCTTATAGGAGGATGTCACAGAGACCATGATGTCTGAACTGAATTTTGGAAAGATACGGAGCTGTCTCCTAGGACACTTCTCACTGAGGGAACTGCAGTGTGACAAGGTGTGGAGGTGCAGACAGGCATGGAATGTTCAGAGAATTCCAGGTGGTTGGTGTGGCTGGAATGCAGGGTGGGAGAGGGTGAGAAGGCAGAGACTGGAAACGTAGCCCAAGGCCAGCTCCAAGACTGGTTTATACATTGCCTACACAGGTTAGACTTTATCTGGAAAGTGGGAAGTTGTTGATTGTAAGTGGGGAAGTGAAATTAGATTTGCTTGGAAGAAGAACACTGGTGGCCAGGTGGAGTGTTTTTGGCAAGTGTGAGAATCAGAAGGTAGGCACACCGGTTTAGGGAGTGGACACCTGAGTCTGCTTGAAGGCTGGTGAGCAAGGCCTTTGGACCAGAGATGAGGGGGTGGATAGAAAAGTAGTAATAAGGCAGGGTTTCTAGGACTTCTGGATGGGTGTGTGTGGTGGTGGGGGGGCAGTTCTCAGAGGTGATGCTAAGAATTCAAGCTTGGACAGGGGGGCAGTGATGGGGCTTCCATCTGAAATAGGGAAGGTGAGCTGAGGGATGAGTAGAGGGGCATCTGGAGCTAGGCTGCTTATGTGGCCTTTCCATGAGCAGCGCCCTCCTTGGGTCATCATGACCCAGAGTTGGTCACTGTTCCATCAACTGAGTCATACTTAAAACAGAGACTGATGTGTAAATGATGATGGCAGCCTAGGAATGTACAATGATGAGCATACATCATTAGCATAATTTCTAATGACCAGAAGGTGTGTGTTCACTGTCAAGGCTTCCTAATGCCATAGTCCCTAGGAAACCCATCGAGGAATCAGGGATTGCTCTCAGGGCATGGAATCAGAGCCAAGGGAGAAAGTTTTGACTACTGGAGACAAATTTACTGAACGTGATGGGTTTTATAAAATACGGAGCTGAAAGGTAGAGCAGGAAACTCACGGTGTGGTGGAGGAGACAGGAAGTAGTCAATTACACACTTCATATGGGTAAGTGCTGGGAGCGGGTGGGGTGGGCCCTACTCAGGAGATGTCTGTACTCAACGCTGAAGGATGAAATGGCGTCAAGGGGTGGCTGAAGTGCCCCCTGGCTGTGGCCTACAAGGTGCCATCTGACTTCTCTCAGACCTCTTTTCCCCTTACTCTCTCTGGAGCTACACCGGCTTTCTTGCTTTTCTTCCAGTTTGCCTGGCCTGTTCCTGCTTTGGGAGTTTTGTACTTTATCGTTCCTTCTGCTGAGAAGCCTCTTTCCTCAGATGTCCTCAGAGCTCATCCCCTCAGTCCACTCGGGTCTTTGTACAGACTTTACTTCGCCAGAGACTTCTCCTGTCTCTCATGGTCACTCTCAGTTTCCTATCCTGTTTTGTTTTTCTTGATAGCACCTGTCACCACCTGACAATAATCGTTTACTTGTCTGTTGTCTGTCTTTCCCTCTAGAGTGTAAACACCACGAAAGTAAGCACTTTGTTTTGCTCACGGCTGAATATCCAGCACCTAGAACAGTGCCTGGCATCTGCTAGGTACTCAATAAATATGTTGAATGGAGAAGGGCAAGGACATTCTAGGCACAGGGAAAGGCAATGTAAAGCACAAAGGTGAGAAAAAGAATGGAGTGTGGGGTGCGCGGGGGC